CATATTGGCGTACTTGGAAAAACGAAGATTTTCTTGTATCAGTTATAGTTGATAAATCTAAAATTGAATTAGCTTGTCAAAATAAATGGGATGAATTAGCTAAACAATATAATGAAGGATTGAATAATGAAATTTTTAAATGAATTTTTAAAGATTTTTGCGCCAGTATTTGGTGGTGCAGTTTCTGGTGGTATATGGGTATATGGAGTTATTGAGAAAGCTCCAATATTAATTACTGTTGGTTGTGTATTATTTGGAATTGAAATAGTTTGTAATTATTTTATTAGGAGATAATTTATGACTGCTAAAAAATTAGCTAGAATTGTATTTATGATTGCTATTATATGTTGGTTTGTTTCATTGATTTGTGTAGCAGCAACAACAGATTTTCATAAGTATTCTAATGTAATTGTTTGTGAGTCTGATCTGATTCAAACATGTAAAACATATAAGCATGTAGAAGTTTTAGATTCCACAGTAAATCATATTGTTATTAAAGATCATGAAAATATATTTATACTAAAAGGTAGGATTTTTAACTATGAGTAGGATTAAAATTGAAAAGTTTGAATATGAAGATGGATCATCAGAATATAAAATTCTGGTACATGTTGATTATGTGAAATGCTCATTTTGTGATAAACTTTATGGCTATACAGTAATTGATAAAGACTGGTACCCAGTTTTTACACAGAAAAGTGATAGTTTAGGTATTATTGGTGTTTTTAATATTTATCCTGATGGTAGCAGAAGAATTTATAATACTTTTGAAGAAGCGTTAGCAGATATTCCTATTATTAAAGAAAGAATTCTTGTTAAAGAGGAAGTACAGATTAAAAATAGGGAAGTTTGTTATGAAGTATAGTATTGAAAAAGATCCATCTATTGGTAATTATTTAGTTTATAGAATTTCTTTTTTTGGATTAAAAAAGAAATGTATTGCTAGAATGAATACATTAGAAAGTGCTTATACTTTGGTAAATTTTTTGAAGGATCCATCTTATTGTTTTAAGAATCAAGGTTGTAATGAAATTACTATAAAACAATTAAGACATGATTTATTTTTCATTGCTAGAAATATGTTTGGAATTTAAAAGAATAAAATATTTAAAGAAATTTATTTTCTTTTATAAAAAGGATTAATTATGAATATTCCAAAGTTAGAAATAGAAAAAGAAGAGTTAAATCCTATACAGGTGTTATTCTCTTATGAAATACCTATACTTTTTATTTGCAAGAATAATTCAAATGAATTATTTTTAGTGTATTGTTGTGATATTGACAAACTTCAGTATTCTATTGTGCAAGTAGAAAAGAAATCCTTAATTCAAATGTTGGAAAATCAAGTGGCAATGGATTCTTTGTTTATCAGTGCAAATAAAAAATGGTGTGCAAATGTAGAATTGTTTGATGAAGTTTGTACAGCTCAATTAATTGATTTTTTTGAAGAAGACGCTTTGCCTAAAAAGAACGCTGTGTATGGAAAGTGCGATTTGAACGTGCAGAAGTTTTTGTGAATTATTGCAAAGAAATTCATTTTCTTTTATAAAAAGGATTAATTATGAATATAATTTTATGTATTATTGGTTATTTTCTTATTGGATTTATTGCTGGTTTTATAATCTGTAAGATTAAAGGTAAAGAATGGTGTAGAGCACACGATGAATTTGATAGAGAATGGTTTGACAATAATGCGCAAGGGGCAATGATAAGTTTTACATTTATCGGGGGACTGATTATTGGTTGTATTTTATTGTTTAGCCCATTTCTTATTATTTACTATTTTATAACATATATTGCAGAGAAATTGCAGGAATAAAAATTTTTTAATATGGGTTTACATTAAACCCATATTTTGTTATATTTAATTAAAAAAGGAAAAAATTATGTCTACAATTTCAAAATATGCAAAAAATTTTACAATTAAGCAGAATAAATCAAAAATCAAACCATATTATAATGTTTTTGTTAAAATGGATAGTAATGATGCTGATTATATTTCTGGTGATATTCAATACACAATAGATGAATGGAATGAAAAAACAGACATTTTCTTTTTGATGCTTGCTTATTTAGGACAAGGATATAGTGGTAAATTTAGTCACGGGCAAGATTAGGGCGACTATTATGGCCACCATTGTGAAGAAAATAAGCATGGTTTATCTAAAATTATTTTTGAAGTAGCCGAAGCAGAAAATTGGTTACAATTTGGTGAATATGATGTATGTCATTCTTTTAGTGACATTATCATTACTTTTTTTGACGAAGAAAATAGAAAACATGATGTAACTTATAAGACTGTTGATGATCTTTTTAACACGGAAGAAGAAATGATTTCAGCCATTAAAGAAGCATATAATAAATGGGCTGAAACATTTGAGGAATAAATTATGGCTCGCGAAGAATATGAAAAAATGATTAAATAGGATAAGAATTAATGTTTGGTAGAAAGAAATATTTTGAAATGCTAGAAGTTTGGAAAGAAAAAGAAGAAGAACTATTAGCAAAAGAAGGTGTAGTTATTGATACAAATGAGCATTTTTGCAGACATAATTCTGACTTTCTTAATTGGCTTGATGAAATACATTTTTGGGAAGAATTTGACAACGAGTATATAGATGAAACAGTTGAGGAATAAAAATATGCTGTATAATGGAATTGAACTTGAAGAACTAACATCGGAAAAGTGGGATGGTAGAAGTCGTGAAATGTTAGTATGGAACGCATTAGATACTAAGGTAATAAAAGAAAAAATTATTTGATATAATATGGTATCTGATGAATTTGATAAATTTTATTGGATGGATAAGTATGGTAATCTCTGGAAACGTTGTGCAGAAATTCCGGAAGAATCTAACCAAGCACAAAACATTGATGAAATGATAAAAATCCTGAATGCCTATAAAGAAGGTAAAATAATTGAACACAGATTCAGAAATAGAGAGATGTGTGATTCTTGGAGTTGTATAAATCTGCAGAATCCTGATTGGAATTGGGCTATTTTTGAATATCGAGTAAAACAAGAACCACGAAGAATGACTTATAGAGAACTTGATGAATGGCTTAAACAAGGTAAAGGCGTATGTAAGTTGTTTTCTCATTTAACAAATAAAATTGCTTATTGGCCAGAATTGATGGACAATGAAGTTGAAGACGGAATTTTAATTTGTGCTTTCGGCAATAGTAATTTTGAAGAACCTTTGATTAAGGAATAAAATATGACTTGTACAGAATATAAGAAACTTGAAAAACGAATCGAAAAAACTATTAAAAAGTATGATGATATTCTTGCTCATACAGTACTCTGCGTTGATACCACTGCTTGACTAGGTTATAAGAGAATGTATTCACAACGTACATTAAAAACACTTTTAGATGCTTACAAAAAAGACATTAATGATTTAAAAAATCTTAAAAATTGTTTATGAGGCAAATATGACAGAAAATTTCACATTTGCATATATAGAAATGCTGGAAAACCATTATAAAAAAATAAGAAATCAACCTAATGCTATAATAGAATGTAAAAGTATTGAACCAATTGCAGAACAACCAAAAAAGGAAACTATAAAAATGACCCGTGAAGAATATGAAGCAAAGAAAGCAGAAATCGTAGAAAAGAAGAATGCTTTAGAAAAAGAACTTGATACTTTATGTGATTCATTTCATGATGCAGAACTAAAAGAATATAAAGAAAAGTATGAAGGCAAGTATGTTCTTTTTTATGATCGTGAATTAAGAAAGTCTGGTAAAGGACCGATCATTCCATCAAAATATACCATTTATGAAATTGATAAAGTAACTTTTGTTGGTCATGGTTTTATCAATGTAGATGGTAGAGCTTATGATATTGTTAGTGATGTATGGAATGTAAAATTAACAAAAAGAGTTCATGATGAGTTTAGAGATGACTTACGAATTTCTACTTGGATTGAACCTGATAAGTTTTTGACTAAAGAAGAATTTAAAGAAATTATTGATGATCTTAAATATCGATTTTCAAATTTATGTGATGAAGTTAAATTGTAAGGAATACTAATTATGTTTAATAAAATTATTATCGGATTAATTTGTATGTTTGTACTTATCGGTTGTAAAAGCAAACATGAAACACAATTAAAAGAAAATGTTGCTAAACACGAATGGGAGTTAGAATACTTTTCAAAAGTTACGATTAATGAACAAGAATTTTATAATTGTGTTTATGAATATTCGTTGGGTTACAATGGCGGTACAACATTTAGTATTTTAAGTAATGAAAAATGTAAAGATAGATTATGAAAATTGAAGAACTACACGAAATTCTTAAAACGAAACATAAGAGATATGTTCGCGATATAGAAACAGTAAATGGTTTTGACCCATCATTAGGACCAGATTATAAAGAATTCTTTATTACTAAAAAGAATTTATCTATAATTATTAAACAAATAGATGGAAGAGAATATTTTGAATTTTGGATTCAAAATAATGATGAAGGTGAAGGCTGTACTATTAATAATGAAATGAAAGCAACTAAAGTTATTGCTTTAGTTGATCTAATTATTGGAAAATAAATTATGAAATACAATGGAAAAGAACTAGTGGAAATGCTCCCTGAGAACTGGGATGGCAAGTCACGAGAAATGATAGTATGGACTAATGCATCTAATCCTGCTTATAAAGATGTGTACTACATCAAAACTGTAATTGGATATAATCCTAGAAAATGTGCTTGGGTTGTTGATGATAAAGGATTGGTCTATTGGCATCATTGTGCAGAAATTCCTGAAGAATCATATATTACTAATAATTTGACTGAAGAAAAAATCATAGAAAAATTTAAAACATTAAGATCTGAATTGAAACAATGGTTAAAAAATAATGATTTCAGAAATCTATTAGTGAATAATCTTCAATATGGTATTAAAACTGCTTTAAATTTAACTAATGTAAATCATCATTATATTGATGTTGTTGACTTTAGTAAGATTGATACTAATGAAAAGAAAACTAGAAGAATGACGCATAGAGAACTAGCCATCTGGTGTAAAGGTAATGGCGAATGGACTAATGCGGGTATGCGTACTGCATATCAGCATTACGACTATGACCTTGATAGAGAAACTGAAGAAGTGAGCGAACATATTAAAATCCGTGGTTGGAATGAAACAGAATGGCATGAACCATTAATTGAGGAATAAAGAAGAACTCATGAAATGGATACCTTTAAATCAAAAAATGCCAGATGACGGATGGCGAATAATTCGGTATAATGATGGTAGAATTTCAATGTGTTATTTTGTCGTCAATTCTATTATACCTAAAAATGTAGTAGAATATCTTGATGATGGCATTGATAGAACATCAAAAACATTTAATGATTTTTTACAAGAAGCAAGAAACATTGTAAATGGATTAAATAATTACATTGCTTTATATGATATTAAAAAGGAATAGAATATGAAAACATTGGTAGAATTAGATAAGCACTTGCGAAAGCATTTTAAGATTAATGATAAAATTAAAACAATGAATGTTAATCATCCATATAGTAAAGATGGAATTGTAGATCTTTTAGTTGGTTTTTGTTATACTTATCATAATAAAAGATCTTTTGTTGTAGTTCCAACTTATACTCCAAATTTTGAAACTAAAAGAATGGAAGCAGATTTAGATAAGCTGGAATATAAGAAGTTTTGGGATGATGAAGAATTTTATTCTGAAGACCAATTTAAAAATTCTATTAATGAACTATTAAATGATAAAGGCATTCAAATTAATACTTAAAAGTTGAAGGACTAATATTTTAATTAAAAGGAATATTATGATTTTTCCAGAAGGTTATTTTATTGATTATATTGGATTGATTGGAAATGATACTCTTAATTTCGCATGGACTAAAGAAGAACAAGAGCAAGCTGATAAACTATATGAAGAATTAAGAAAATTAGCAATTAAATACATGCAAGAGTAGGTGGAAACTTAACTGATAAGGAATAAAAATATGTACATTTATGAATTTTATTTAGGTGATAAGTATGGTGATGGTCATGGTAAATATGAAGTCTTTCAATATGAGATGAACATCACTGCCGAAGAATTTAATATAGCTATAGATAAGTTTAATTACGAAACAAATCAACAATGTTTAAGCTGGTTTCAAGATTATAAAGATTTTAAATGGGATTCTGAACGAAAAGAAGCATTAAAGAAGATTGGATTAAATCACATGGATTTTACAACTGATATAGATCCGGATGATCCAGATTACGCCGCCATTTTTGATAGAGAAACTTATATTGAATTAATGTTCAATATTGTAAAACATTATGTACCAAACTTTGAATGGAAACCTTATACTTTTGATAAAGGTCCGGGTCGTTTATGTATTGAAGGAAAGGCATACGGATTATTTGATTAAAAGGATAATAAATTATGTCATTTGATGAATTAGATTTAAGTGGACTTCAGCAAGGCGTTGAAGAAATGGAAGAGCGTAAAAAGACAATAGCAAATTTAAAAACACGTAAAGAGTCTTTAGAAGACGCTTTAAAATGTGATGGTATCTTAAATTATGGTCCTATATTGAATGAACTAAAAGAAATTAATGATGCACTAAAAGAAATTAATGAAAATGATTAGAGGAATAAATTATGAAACTTAAAGAATTGATTAAACAATTAAATAAAATTAAAGAAGAACATGGTGATGAAATGAGCGTAATTCTATATGATTATGAAAATATGCATCATGTATATGTAAAACAAGTAGTATATTCTGAAGATGATGGCTATATGCGACCAGAAAGTGTTTGGATTGAAGGAGAATAAATTTAATGTTTCCAGCAAATAGAATAGATCGCGCTTTTATCAGAAAGGGATTTGACTTACTTAGTCATTCTCGTTTTACTGATAATATGATGGACAAAACACATATAGAAAAGTTTAAGTTTTCTAAACATTCTGATAATGTAGAAGTTTCATTCAGTATTCACAATTCAGATAATTATATTAAATATATTGAATCAATTCGTATTAACGATGTTGAAGTCGATGATATTGAAAGTTTTTGTAGTTCTAAATATAATTATCTACCAATAACAACTATTGTTCGTGATATTATTACTTTCATACGTAAAGTAATGAAACGTAAACCTAAAGTTGCGATTGCAGGAATTCATTATCCAGATGAAAACGGTATAATGATTCGCAGGGTTTCTCCACAGTTATGTGATGTTAAACTAACAGCTGTACAACCTTTAGCAGAACCAATTGGATTAAAATTTGCAATGAAATTTTAGTTAACGGCAAATAAACGTGTATTGACAAAATACATATTTTTTATTATATTTTTTTATTGTGAATTATACAATGAATAGCAGTTTAGATTGAAGGAGAATAAGTAATGAATATAGTTGATGAACTTGTACGTGTTGGTGCTTTTAATTCAAAGAAAGAAGCACGAATGATGATTGCTAATAAAGGTGTATCGCTAATTTCTTGTATTTGTGAAGACTTTGAAATACCATGTTTTGAAGCCGAAGAATTCGAACAAATAAAAGTTATTACCGAAAAAGATTGGCATTGGTGGAACTGGCGTACCGAAGGAACCATTTGGAATGTAGGTAAGATTCCATTTTGTAATGGATTTATTCTTGCGCCTGATGGTTCAAAAATTCCAGCTGTAAAATGGAATATAAGTAAATGGACTCCGAACATAGCTCAATTCGTTGAACAACTTCAGCATGGCCCAAAAGCAGGTGTTCGTATTGATAATTATGTAATTACTTGGGACATAGAAAAGTTCGGTAAAAATCCATGGTTGCTAGATAATGATAAACTAGAACGTGAACTGAAAACTGGTGATACAATTAAAATTGGCAAAAAGAAAACAATAATCGTAGGCGATATTAAATAGATTAACCAAAGGAATAAAACTATGATTACTTTATTTTGTATATTTTCTGCTGTTGTATATGGTTTATCAATTATTGGAAGTATGTTATATTTTGACGAGAAGAACTATGATTATAAGGCTATCTATATAATTGCTACATTTACACCAATATGGAATACTTATTTTGCTATTAAATATGCTTGTTTATTAAATTTTAAATCTGTTATTGAAACAATTAAGTATCATTTTACTTGGAATGAAGAATAGTTATGTTTAAGAAGATTAAAGATTTTTTTGATTCTGATAGAGGATTTACATTTTTATCAGTTTTTGTTATATTTATCCTAATAGGAATTATGTGTTTTGGAATTTATTTTAGTGAACCAAATCAAAATACAACCAATTATACAAAGTCAAAAAATTCATTTGGCTATAGAATGAATTTAAGAGGAAAGATGGGTTGGGGTATTGGAAAGAACGGTATAAATTATTATAATTTTGGAAAGTAAATTATGCTTTTAATTAGTATATTCTTATTATTTTTTATTGTTATGTTTTATGGTTTATCAGTAATTGGTGCTGGAATGTATTTTGATAATGAATGCTATACATTTAAGATCATTTATTTAATAGCGGTATTTATGCCATTTTGGAATACATATTTAGCAGTTAAGTATATTACATCTGATTATGGTTCAGTTAAAGAAGCTATTAAGTATCATTTTACTTGGGGTGAATAATGAAGTATAACGGAAAAGAACTCATTGAAATAACACCAGATGAGTGGGATGGAAAGCCCAAAGAAATGTTAGTGTGGTAGGATCATAAACCTCAAAAAAGAGTTGTAGTTGGATATTTTAAATTTATGACTATATTATGGTTAGCTTATGAAGATAGTCATACCGGACAGTTGATGTCTTGGAGATATTGTGCTGAAATTCCAACAGAAGAAAAGGAAGCTAAATCTATTTTTAAACCATGTGGTGTAGGTATTGCACCAGATTTATTGAAATAAAATTATGAAACATGTAGATAAATGGGAAAATGGATGTGATATGTGCCCGCATCATGTAGAAGTTGAACTTAAAGAAGGTGAACATAGATGGCGTAGATATTGTGGCTTAGGTAATTTTAACATTGATTTAGCAAGTTATTGTGTAAAAATTACATCACATAATAAGAAAAAGTATGTTCGTGAAAATATTGGACCAGATAGCTGTGAATACGGAATTCCTAATCGTTGTCCTTTATTAAAGGAAAAATAATTATGAAAATAGAAGAACTCCATGGGATTCTTAAAAAGAAACATAAGAGATATATTCATGATGTAGAATCAGTAAAGAGTTTTGATCCATCATTAGGACCAGATTATAAAGAAATATACATTACTAAGAAGAATTTAACTATTATCATTACTCAAATAGATGGAAAAGAAGATTTTGAATTTTGGATTCAGAATAATGATGAAGGCGAAGGCTGTACAATTAGTAAAAAAATGGATCCATATACAGTTAAAGAATTGGTAAACTTAATTATGTAGAGGAATGATTATGAATGTGAATAATGAAACAATGGAAAATTTAAAATTTGTAATGATGAATAGTAATTATAGAAATCATAAAATGGATTTAGTTTTTGATCCTATAGGTTTAGCTATTTTTACTAAATTAAAGTTTGGTAAATCAGAAGAATTTTTAGATTTATATGATAAGATTTCTTATACAAATGATGAACATTATAAGAATCTTGAAATACAAACATTAGATATAGCAGGAAAATATATTCCACCAGAAGTAAATCTAAAAACTGATGAACCAACTAATGGAGCTGATATACTTTCTGATTTGTGTCAAATTAAAATTTTTGAAATTTTGATTAGATTAAAAGAAGTTGTTGAAGAAAAGAAATGTAATATAGTTCTTTATGATTTGGATATGTGGCAAGGATCACCAGATCCACAAATTATTCATTGTGAATTAAAGTATTTTATAGAAGAATCTGAATCGAATGAAAATAATGAAAAATTTTCAGCAAATGCTTATGATGAAATAATTACGTTAGGAGTAGTATAATATGATTTTTGATGAATTGATTAGCGGAGTTACTGAAGTTATTACTGATGGAATAGATACAATTAAAGATGTAACGAGCGATGTTAGAGAAGAAATTAGTGATACGAATGAAGCAATGGTTCAAGCAGTTAAAGATATTTTAAAAAGTATAAAAGAGGATTAAAATATGTCTTGTGAAGTAAATAATAAAATGAAGTGTTATGTTTTGGTTAAGAAAGTAGATGGAACAGAAGAAATTTTGAAAACTAGAAATCCAGTCGGGGAAGTTTTTGAAATTAAATTTAAGACATTTGAAGAAGCGAATGATTTTTTGAAATTTATGCCGGAAACTGATATTTATATTAAAGAGATTGATCGCTAAAAATAGAGGAGATTAAGTAAATGAAACTACATTGTGAAAATTGTCCATTTTATATTACTGAATCTTATTATCATTCAGTTTTAAATGAACATAATGAACCGCCAAATGAATGTTGTGAATGCGAAAGAGATGATGATTTTTATGAATTTGATAATGTACTAGATTATTTTGAATATAAGAAACAGAAGAAGGATAAGTAAAATGACTGAACAACAACAACATTGCACGCAGTTAATTACACATATTTTAAAATATGCTAATAGTTGTGTAACGAAATTTAAAATGGTAGGGAATGAATGTTATATGTCTAAAAATATGGCAGAATTTATTGAAAAGTATGGAACACCTTTTTTCTTTAATAAACCATCTATACCTTCTGTTGAATTTGGTACACTTAATGCTACTATTAAAGTTTTCATTAATGAAACGCTTGAAGATCATCAATTTATTGTCGGTGTAGCTGGAACCGATAATAAGATTGAATTTGAATTAAGGAAAATGTAAATGAAAGCAATATTATTAACTATTCTATTTTGCTTCGCAATATCACTCGGCGGAGATGGTACATGTAAAAAGTTTACTGTTTGGAATCCGAATACTAATGACACATTATATCATTTCTTTCGTGGAAATGGTCAGTTTGGTGATTGTTGGTACGATTACAAAATGATAGGCCATAGGGTGGAATGGCATTGTAAAAACATGGCAATGGTACATAAGTCTGATACCACGGTAATTAAAGATATTAAAGGTCATATTAGTCTTAATCCATTCACATATTACTGCGAATCAGTATGGTGATTTGGTATTCTGTGATATAAGGAGAATGAAATGAAAAAGTTTTTAGTAGGAAATTGTATTGGCGGTGCCCAAATTACTAAACAAGCTTGGGATTATCTTGTTACTAATTCTACAAAAAAATTAGATCAAGAAGATTACATAAGAGAAAGCGAAACATATTCCTGTATTTGGAATGATTATTTTACTAAACACGGAATTAAAGATGAAGATGAAGATGAAGAATATGTAAGATTTCATCCATGGCTTGAAGGATCTGAAGAATTTAGACAAATACTTTTATATCTTGTTGAA